CAAAAGTTTCAATTAACCTCTGACTCAATACCTGCTGGTGTTGAAGTTATCAGTCAAATATATATATTTGACTCACTAAAATATATATAGTTAAGAAAGGAAAAGCTGTTTCAACTGCAAGGTTGGTGGTTCAAGCTCACCAGCTGCTCCTTGGAAACCCTATACAGGGTCACTATGGGTTAGAACCGACTCAATGGCACTTAACAACAACAACAAGAAAGGGAAAGACTAACCATTTTTGTGGAAAATAATTCCAATATCAGGCTCAATAATTCTAGTAACAAACATCTCTGCAATTTAGTAATAAACTATCCAGTTCATAATTTAAAATTAACAAACATGCAAAGAAAAAGAAAAATGTGACCAGTAATCAAAGGAAATAAAAAAGCTATCAATCGAAGCAATAGCTAATTCTTTCAGAAAAGATTTAAAATTGCATAAAAGATAAAAAGTAATGGCTAAAAAGATGGAGAATTTCAATCTGTTAATAAAATAAGATGAATTAATAATTCATGAATACAAGGTTGAGATTATGAACTCACTGGGTGGATTAAATAGTTGACAAGTTTAAGTATGTTGAATAAAGTTCAGTGCAATATTTCCAAAATGAAGTACACAGAGAAAACTATAACGGAAAAAACAAAACAAAGTAAAACTCAGAATAACATGATACAACATGTGGGACACAGATAAATGATTTAACCTACATGGGATTGTTGTCTCAGAGGATTAGCAACAGATAATAAGCCCAACTAGTTAAATGGTTTGTTCTTAATACTAACCTAAAGGCTACTGTTTCCAACCTACCCAGAGGTGTCATGTAAGAACTCAATGATCTGCTCTTGCAAAGTTTTACTCTAACGTATGGGATTGCCATCAGCTGGAATTGGCCTCACAACAGTAGATTTGGTTTTACACTATAGCGATTTTATAGCCATATGGGAAAAAATCAGTCTTGCTCCTACCTCATAAAATGTACAAAAATTAATTTGAGATAGTGCATAAACCTATATGTAGTTGCAAAACAAAGTATCTAGAAGAAAATATACTGTCGTTGTTAAGTGCTATCAAGTCAGTTCTGACCCATAATGACCCTGTATAGGGTTTCTGAGGAGTGGCTGGTGAGCTTGAACTACCAGCCTTTAGGTTCAAACTGACCTTGCAGTCCAGCACATTAGCCCAGAGCACCACACCACGACTCCAGAAGAAAAATATAGGCAAATATATTAGTGTGCCTGCTTGAGCAAAACTTCCTTAAACTGGCTACAAAATTAAACTTCAAGAAAAAAAAAGTTATCAAACTTAATTAAAATAAGAATTTCTGCTCATCCAAAGACAATTTAAGATAAAAAGGTAAGCCATAGATGAGGAAAAATTATTTATCTATCTAACATAATATTTGAAGTATATAAAATGGTATTTTATATAGGTTTTTATAGAGAATATACATAATTCTTACAAAGATACAGTAAGAAAGAAAAAGTAAATAACGCAGTAAAATTAGACAAAAAATACTTCTGAAAAGAGGAAATCCACATGGCAAGCAGACATGATAAGGTAGTTATCATCATTAGTTATTAATGAAATGAAAATTAAAGTCACAGTGAGATATCATTACACATATATTTATTGTTGTTAAGTGCTGTTGAATCAGTTCCAACTCATAGTGACCCTGAATAGGGTTTCTGAGGCATGGCTGGTGGGTTAGAACCCCTAACCTTGTGGTTCAAGTTGATCTTGTGATCCAGTGCTTTATCCTAAAGCATCACACCAGGACTCCTATATTGTCTAAAACCAATACAATTGATAATGTAGGTAAGGATGTGGGATACACTGCTTACTGATGGAATTTTAGATGGGACAACTACTTATGTTCACAATGGTCATTAGTGGGAGCATGGATAAATACATTTTGGTATAGTCATGTGTTGGAATTAACTCAAAATCAATTTGTTTGTTTTTGGTATAGGAATATGCTGAATATACACAGCAATAAAAACAAATCACTTATGTATACTATAACATGAATTAATCTCAGAGAGCAAAAGAAGCTAGACAAAAAAGAAAACATACAACATTGTATTTTTATAAATAAATTACAGAAAATATTTACTGAAGGGGGCCAGGAGAATGAATGTTGACATGGGAGATGTAGGGGACATGGGGGACCTTCTGAGGTGCTATAAATGGTTTGTGTCTTGATCTAAGTCAAGGTTGTTGGTGCTATTAAAAGCTGCTGAGATGATTTCAACTTTCACAGCCTCAAGTAGTGGTTACACAGGTATTAACCTAATTAACACATGTAAGAATTCATTGAACAGTACATTTAGGATTAATATACTTTCCACATATGGCTATACCATATATATCAATATAAAATATTATCAATTAAATCTCCTGGACTATAATTCATGTCTTTATAATTAGATTTAAAACATTAAGACATTTGAAAGGAACAAACTAAATAAGTGAAGAAATGTGAGAAATGAGACTAAAAAGGGTAAGACTTCTAAACAAAGTGAATGAATTGAGGAGCCTTGTATTTAACATTAATTTATAAAACACCATTCTTCATAGACATGTTGCCCTTCTTGAATATCTATGGTTAGCGCTCATAAGCACATAAATTTGTATTTACTTATAAATTCTTCACTTATTCTTCCTGTTTTTAACAAAGATACAATGATGAAATTTTGAATGCTAATAACTTTTAGAAATGCAAACGAAATAGAGTGTCATTTATTGTAGTTTTAAGAACTTAGGAATATTAACATTCCTAAAAATTTACCTTAGGTTGAGATCCATGTTGTTTCAGCTTTTATAAATACAGATGCTGGAACTGATTTGTAAATGTGAAAATAGAAATTTAGCTTAGTTTATTGTTGCTAAAACTCTCACACTTTTGTGCTGTCTCATTTCTAGCTAATTCAAAGTCCATTACATCTTTGAGATAGTAAATTGAATTAATAAGTTTAGACACAACTTTGAGAGTGCTCCTTTCAGGTATTAGGGCTGATTAAGGAGGCAAAAAGTCCAAATCTTAGGAAATGCTGATGTTGTCACGACAATTCTGATGTTTCATTGCCCCTCCCTTACAAGGCAGAAAACAGTGAAAGTTCAATGCATCACTGTATGCCTTGAATATATTAATGTAGACCACAGCCCAGACAATTTCTGTCTCAGGCATTATAAAGGGTGAATGTGAGGAAGTGTGTGCTGTTGTTATGAAGTCTCCAATTTGCCAAATTCCATGAATTCATTTCAGTTGTTATTCTATTGGGTGTTTCTGCTGTATTTAGTTGTGGTCAGTATAAACTTTGTTTGACTCTGCATTTATTCATTCAAACATTAAGTCCAAGAGTTACTATGGACTTATCTTAACTCTCTAACCAACCTTGTATTTTAAAATAAAATAGAAAAAGAAAGGGAAATTCTAATTTTGTGATTTTACTTGCCAAATTTCCATATACTTTCCCTTTGTTGTTGTTAAGTGCTGTAGAGTTGGTTCTGACCCATAGTGACACTGTATAGGGTTTCCAAGGAGCAGCTGGTGAGCTTGAACCACTGACCTTGCAGTTCCAATGGCTTTTCAGTCTGGCGCATTAACCCACAGCACCAAACCAGGATCCTGTGCTTATTTCTATTTTCTCTGACCCAGTTAAATCATCCAACTTGAGTCTCAAATAACAAGGGGTTAACAATCTCTTGTCTTTACCCTCTTAAGTCCATTTCCCCCATTTCATGTAGTAGAATATTGTAGCCCAAATATAAATTTTTCTACTTCACTCCCTTGGTGGAAACAACTCAAGGACATGTCATCATCTTCATGCCTTAGTATGCTTAACTTGTCCTTATCTGCTTTCCAGTCTCAAAGTGTACCAAGATGCTTATTTTATTTGTGACCTAGTTATAATAATTCCACTGAAATGTTTCCCACTGCTTCTTCTTGCTCCTTCATTTTGGTATTTTTTTCATTTACCATTGCCCAAGAACCAATAGATCTGCTTTGGAAGAAGTGTAGCTAGAGTGCTCCTTCGAGGCCAAGATGGCCAAACTTCGTCTCTCATACTTCGGACATATTGTCAGGAGGGACCAGTCACTGGAGAAGGATCTCATGTTTGCTAAGGTGGAGGGTCAGAGAAAAAGAGGAAGACCCTCAATGAGATGGATTGACCAGGTGGCAGCATCGATGGACTCAAGCGTGGTAACAGTTGTGAGGTTGGCCCAGTATCAGGCAGTGTTTTGTTCTGCTGTGCAAAAGGTTGCTATGGGTCAGTACTGACTTGATGGCACCTAACAACAACTCCTGGTGAGACACTGTAGGATAAGCACTGGACTGCTAGTCACAAGGCTGGTGGTTCAAACCTACCAGTTGCTCCTCAGAAACCATATACAAAGTCACTATGAGTAAGAACTGATTCAAAAACATAAAAGAACAACAAAATACCTGAATCTCTCTTCCCTCATTAAAAAAAAAAAAAAAATCTGGTTAATTTTTACACAGGTCTAATATTCATCTCAGTGGAACTTCCTCCAGGACAACTTCCCTAAATCATTCAAACATGTGGATACTGCTCCATTCTCTTCAACTGCACCTTGTGCAAATTTCTACCTTGGCCTTATGTTGATTGTTCTTCATCAGGCCATTAGTTCCTGGACACAGGATATACTATTTTTGTTCACCCGTGCTTCCTACAGGGGTTGGTCATATAGTAGACACTCTAAGTGTGGCTTAAGCACAATCTTCTGGTATGGCATTTCAAAATTCCATGTATACATTACGCTAATTCTGGATATAATTAACCTGGGTATACTTGTATATTATAGTACTTGTTGAACAATAGACTATTTTCTTATTATTTTAAAAATATTTAAAATTAATAACTATAGTCTATTATATGTCAAAGGTAGTTAAAGCTGCAGATGAGTCTCCTGTGTTTTCATGGGCAGGATTAAATAAATATAATACTCAGCCTTTTTATTCTTTTGTTTTTCTGCAGATTGCTGCCAATTCCTGGGGAAAGTCATGGGGAGAGAATGGCTATTTCCGGATTCTTCGAGGAGTAAATGAATCTGACATTGAAAAGTTGATTATCGCAGCTTGGGGCCAACTGACAAGTTCAGATGAACCATAATATATCATTAAATTTCCATAAAGCCAGGCATTTGAGTAACCCCTTAAATTGAAACTTAGTAATGTGAACTCCCCATCCCTAGTGAAATCTTAGTCTTTTACCTTGTCACTATAATGTACCTGTTTTCTTCTTTTGCCCCAGGCTACATGTGACTGCTTCTTTTATATTGATGAGGATATGAAAATATTAATAAGAGCACAGCATAGTGGCTAAATACCTTTAAAGTTCCCAACTTGTCTTTTTTCTTTTCTTTTCTTTTATCCATTCCTTGCCAATGTTCTCTAATAGCTCACAAACTGTGATGGCAACTGCCCTCAAAGTTTGTAGCACTTGAATATAGAAATGGTCATGGTTTCTCTCTTGGACCAATAAGTACTTAATAAAACTAAAGTTAATGGAAACTCACAAATTTACGATCTTTACAAATTTTTTCAACCCAACTAAATAGTGTTTTAAGTCAGGCCATGTGTATGCTTTAACAAAAGCAATGGAAATAAATCACAAATTGTTTTTCTCAATATACTAGTATTTTGTTTCTTTTCATTTGTCTAAAGCTAAACCTCCACCACTCATCTGTCAGTTTGGCATACTGTGCTGGCTTGCATGTTCCTGTGATGCTGGAAACTATGTCAGTGATATTTTAAACAACAGCAGGACACACCATGATGGTCATGTTACAGCTGAATTTCCAAACTAAGACAGACTAGGAAGAAGGAGAGGCAGACTACATCAGAATCTTTAGTCATTGAAAAATTATGAATACATGGATAACAGTGTCAGATAGCATCAATATATTAAAATATGAAGAAAGATACCAGAATATTGTCAGATATAGTGCTGGAAGATGAGCCCCTCAGGTGGAAGGCATTGAAAATACAATTACGGATGAGCTGCCTCCTCAAAGTAGAGTTGACCTTGATGACATGAATGGAATAAAGCTTTTGGGACTTTCATTTGCTGATGAGTCACAACTCAAGATGAGGAGAAACACCTGTAAACATCCATTAATAATTAGAGCATACAGTATACAAAGGAAAATTGGAAGTCATCAAAAATGAAACAGGACATATAAAGATTGATATCCTATCCATTAGTGAGCTGAAATGGATTGGTATTGACCATTTCAAATCTGACTATCTTATGGATTACTATGCCTGGAATAACAAATTGATGAGAAATGGAGTTGCATTCATTGTCAAAAA